TCGAAGGCTTATCTCCGTAGCGAGGGTCAGGCTACTCCCCCTCGAACAGCCAATCAGGAGGCAGCGATGCTCTTCATGACGCCACTTTCGTCATTGCAACGAGGGGATCTGATTGGCTGTTGCATGCCCATGGTCACACCCCCGTCTTGACCAATCAGCGAAGGGTAAAGCGAAGTGAGGCCTTCGGGTTGTATGGTAAGAATATGATCTACGCCTTTGTGAAATTCTCCTTTCTGTTTGTGTGAAAAATATGAAAATCAAAAGCATCATAACAAAAGAAATGTTTGCTGACATAGAAATCTCTCTCTCCCTCTCTTTCTCTCTTTCCGTGTCATTCTTTCACTCTCACAATCTCTCTCTCTCTCTCTCTCTCTCTCTCTCTCTCTCTCTCTCTCTCTCTCTCTCTCTCTCTCTCTCTCTCTCTCTCTCTCTCTCTCCAAAATTTATTCCTTAGAGAAAAGATACATGACTTAAGTACAGTGACCCTGAACCATCCCCTCAGGTACCTTGTTGGCAAAGGGCAAAACGAACTCATCTGACCTTGAAGCTGCGGACGTGACCTAATGGCAGATTCATGTGCCTTGGTTCCTGGAGGCGATTCGTGGCGGTGGGAAGTCTCTCTACAAAAAAAATGCGAAGGACGATAAAAAGGAATAAATGTCAAATGAAACAAACACAGTGAAATGTGAAATGGCGATGACAAAGGAATAGATATCAAATTATTATTATAGTGAAATAAAATATGTATTGACCAAAGAATATTAATAATTAAGAAAGACGATAAAAAAAAAAAATCTGCATCTGCATGAAATAAAAAAAATAATGAAGTGAGTTGATCACACGTCAGTAGAAATATGTTGGAATTAAGAAAATACAGAAAATGCAAAAAAATACATGTACAATTAAACACGCGTGTATGTGTATGTGTATGTATATGTGTGTCTATCTATCTATGTATATATCTGTCTATCTATCTATGTATATATCTGTCTATCTATCTATCTATACGTGCATACACACACACACACATACACACATACACACACACACACACACACATATATATATATATGTATATATATATATATATATATATATATATATATATATATATATATATATGAACACACACACAAACACACACACACACACACACACACACACACACACACACACACACACATATATATATATATATATATATATATATATATATATATATATATATATATATATATACATATATAGATGCATGTATACTAGAGCGAAATGCTCGTGCTTGTAAGTTCGTGCACGCACTCTTCCGCTTGACTGCCTTAATCCAGATATTCACTTTCATGTCGACGACTTTTAAATGGAGTGCAAAACAGGGTGTCAAATCCGTTGAAAACTATTGTGACCGTAATGCTTAAAGACTGAACTTTCCAGGAGACGAAGAAGGGGATAAGTAGATACAAATATTATCCATATTAGTTCACATCTCATCTATGCAAACACACAACTATATATTCGTTTGTATTTGCATATGTGGTTATATATATATATATATATATATATATATATATATATATATATATATATATATATATATAATAATTATAATATATACATATGATATATATTATTATAGTATTATATATATATATATATATTATATATATATATATATATCTATTATTATATATATATATATATAGACATACACATACATATTTGTATATATATATATATATATATATATATATATATATATATATATATATATATATATATATAGACATACACATACATATTTGTGTGTGTGTGTGTGTGTATGTGTATATATATTTGTCTATCTATCTATATATCTGTACGTATATACGGCATATATTTATATATTTTACCTCGAAATTATAGTTATTTATTTTTATTTCGTATGTTTTCATCTTTGTAATTTTGTTTCTTATAAAGTTTGGATTCTTTCACTGACCTTTATTTTACAAACACGCGTCTCAAGCACAAATAGATACACACAGATTTACTCCCATGGCAGCCGTCTCCTTGTTTATATGAGATGTAAGGATAGTCTGCCTGAAAGTTCGAAAACATCAAAATTATACTCCTCTCAATAATCAAATGATTATTGAGAGGGATATACTTTCGATATGATTAGTTGATTAGATCGATAGATAGTTCAGTTAATGAGTAATGGTGTGGTGAGCAAGATTTCGGAAGCAAAAAAATGTTAAATGGGATTAACTGATAGTAATGGAGTTCTTTCGTCTTCACAGACAAAGAGAGAGAGAGGGGGGGGGGAGAAAGAAGGAGTGGGAAATGAAGAGGGAAAGGAAAAGGGAGAGAAAGAGGAGAGAATATCTATTTTCTACCTATTTATCTACATTTATGCAAATAAAAGGGAAAGACTCGTCCATTTTCTAAAGATTTATCCTTCTATTACACATAATTTCATGAAGACTTAACAAGAAACAAAACTGATAAAAATAATAAGAACACAAACAAGCACAATGCCAATAATAATCAATAAAAGTCAGTGGAACGGGTAAACAATAATAACGACAATGATAATAGCAATCATGACTATGTAGAAATGCCTAAGGTGTCTTCGGAACACATGCTAAGAGGGACACTCGCAGCCCCTTGTGTTTTTATTCTTTATACATGCATCCATATATGGCTTTGGATGAATACTGGAAACTGGATACTTGGTAATAATAATAATCTTGTTCTTATGATCGATGTTAATACTGCTATCACCAGTTACCAAACTACTTGTAATATTCCTACTGCTGCCACTACTACTAGGAGTAGTAGCATCATTGCTTTTACTGCTTACATTCCTGCTACAACTACTGCTAAACCATTATTGGGTCGAGTTAGTAGGTTGCTTATATGAGAGCGTATGTATATGTGTGTGTGTGTGTGTGTGTGTGTGTGTGTGTGTGTGTGTGTGTGTGTGTGTGTGTGTGTGTGTGTGTGTGTGTGTGTGTGTGCGCATGTATAAATAGATATACAAATAGACAGACAGACAGAGAGAGCCATAGACGGGCAAAGAGAAAGGGATATACATAGATTGACAGATAATTAAATACATAGACATTGAGATGGATAGATAGAAAAGATAGATATATGGAAAGACAGATTCACAGATAGAGATATAGACAATTACACAGACAGAAATATAAACAGATACATAGATAGAGGCATATATAGACAGATGTCATAACCAGACAAATAGATAGATACATAGATAATCATATTCTTATACGCACAGTTAAAGAAAGGGGTCAACTAAATATGAGATTAGAGAAGAAAGGAAGAGAGAGAGAGAGAGAGAGAGAGAGAGAGAGAGAGAGAGAGAGAGAGAGAGAGAGAGAGAGAGAGAGAGAGAGAGAGAGAGAGAGACTAAGAGAGAGAGACAGCGGGTGGAGAAAGGAACGGCGGAATTACCCAATGACCTCTCGCCTTCTAACAGCGACGCCATGACATAGCATAACAGTTACTGCGTTTTCTATTGCGTTTCTAAACAAATCGGGAGATCAGAAAAATGGTGTTTAAAATACGACCTAACTGTAATCTTAGACGGGAATTAGGTACAAGTGAGTTTGGCGATAATGATGACATATGCTAATAATCATTAATGCCATTAATACGCACACGTAAACACGCAAAATAACACACTCTTATCTATACATAACAAAAAAAAAAAAAAAAAATTGGCAATTATATCCTCCTTAATTCCACCAAAGGAAAAACAAAATAAACGCGCTAACTTTTTTTTCGAGGATTTGATAGCATTTGCAATTCCTCCTATGAAAAAAATCCACCGTCTGTACGCGCTTCCCTATAACGTTCATAACATTACAGTCTCAGCAGAAGTTTGGCGTCCTGTACCCACCCTCGCCAGGTAAGCAGGCTGGGATCCTATGGGCCAATCAGAACCTCGCATTTAGACCAACCAAATGCCACTCCCACAAAACAGCTGAAGGTCAGGTGATCTGACGAATACCTATACCTACTGTAGAGAGATGAAGGTCAGGATAGTACATGGTCACCATTGTACTTGCGTTGTATTAGTGGGTTTTTGGAGGCATAAGGGGCAAATCCTTTGTACCTTTGTTCTCATTTGTATGTTGATGCACTGTAGGTAGAAACATATTTGTTGCCGGAACATTGGGATGAAAATATGAACTAGGATGCATTTTATTTGGAAAAAAAAGGAAATATATGAAGTAGAAGTCTTAAAATGTATACCAGTTGGTTGAGGTAATGTACTGTGTTCTTCCAGATGAAATATTTATATGCATCCTATATGGGCAAGACACAAGAGACCAGACACAGGTTTTATACTGCAAGTTATCTCATCAGGTTTGCCCAGTTCTGGATCATATACTATATAGTCCGAAACGAAAATCTGACGCTGAAGAGGTGAACGACTGAGCCAACAACAGCAAACCCTAGTGAAATAATAAATAACATTTTCTTCGCAATTTTACTTCCCTCATCACCATTTTTTTGGTGATAGCAGTTGGTGTTCAATAATATATATCTTTTTCTTAGGTCTTCTCCTTACGAATTCATCTGTAAACACGAGCCCGGGCTTGATTCTGGACATGTACATAAGTAATGCGAATTAGCGTGGCAGAAGACATGATAGAACAGTCTTTGAATAATCAATGAACAGATGGCATACATGTTACTGTACACAGGTGGTGCAGGCAGTCATACCAACGATGCAGACAGGTACATGGATACTATCAGATGGTATAAAGCATCCTATGGGTGGTAAATCGAGACAAACAGATGGTGGAGTTAACAGGTGGCGCGACTTAGTATTCAAGTGGTATGTGTAAACAAATGACAAGAGAAGTGTTTGTAAAATAGTGAAGAGAGAGAAGCGATCAGACTGAAGAGGATGAGAAAGATAAGAAAGAGGAGGATGAGAAATAAAATGTATAACCAAGATAAAATAACAACAACAGAAAACAGAAATAAAAAAAAAA